AAATAGCATTCAAATGTATGATCTAATGCGCACCAACCAAAAAAATGAAAATAAATAAATAAAATTAATAAAAAAATAAAATTAAAATATTATATAAAATTATACCAGTGAATTGTCCCAAAAAAAATTTAGTATAAATATCTCTATATATACAATTAAAAAGGCAATTATAAGATTCGATTAAAAAATGTATTGAAACTAAGTAATTGAAATCATCTTAAAAACGTTAATCGACAAGTCATTCATGAGTCGATGGCGAAAGAACGTGAAATAACAACTCGGTACGGAAACACCCTATTTTGGTATATTCCTTTGTCGTAACCGCGTGTCTTCGACGTGGACGTAAGCAAGCGAGGACGATAATAACGACGAAGAAGTAAAAATCGTATATGACTCCTTTCAAAAAATCTTAGTCCTTGAAAACCCAAATTTGCCCTTGAAAAGTCCTTGAAGTTTAATTGTCTGAAGTTGTACACACCATGATTCAAAGAATCATTTAATACGATTACTTAATCATGATTGAAGTCAGTATTCTACACATGATACTATTTGTAAAAAATACTCACTCGGAATGTACAATGCCTCTCCCGAGCTACAGGGTATTGTCGCGCGGACAAGGCTTGAAAAAATGTGCAAAACAAATCAACCTTCCCTACCTGTGTAAAAGTGAAATGAACAGTCCCTTCTCGTGTTCGCTAAAAGGTTTGAATGGTACAAATTTAGAAAAGTATTTCAATACAAAGTCATAGTAGAATAATAAAGTTAGCCTGCTTGTACAAATTTTTAATGAGTTTAAAAACTGACCTCAAAAATGGCTTATGCAACACATTGAAAACAACTTTTATCTGCTACATAATTAGGACATGTGGAATTATTAAAATGATAAATAAAGCATGTCAAATACTGACGTGCCTGTAATTTGTATTATGTGATGTTTAGTTAACTGAGGGCCAAAAAGCAATCACTTCTTTATAAAAAAAATGCCTTAAGCCGTTAATACCTAAAATGATATTTTATTGAAAAAAAAAACATAAACAAATTAAAAAAGTGCAAACTCGTTTTGCCTTTGAACTTTGAACTGTACATCGATTTCGAAGACTTGTTTCTTTTTCAAAATGGACTGTTTCTGTTTCGCTGGCATCACTTAGCAATTAGTACTCTTGTTTCTGTCTCTTTATCGTGCTCACTTTCTTGGCACCACTACGATACGTACAGCTGTTGCAGCATTTGCTTTCAGAAACCTGTGAGGGCCGATTGAGTTTGGTGATAGACTGTTTTCTGTCCATACTCTTTGGAAGGGAGGCCCGCACAGTCCTGCACGCGATCTGACCTGTATTTAAAATCAGCTCAGGCAATTTTTTTTTTCATAACAGAAATTGTTTTGAGCTGTGCACTATGTGTGTCTTCAAACGTCTTGTCGAGTTTTTTAACGAGTGAGCTTTGTACGTTGCAAAAAGTGGTTTAAAAGTCGCTTATCTTTAGCTTTTGCTTTTGCACGTACCGTACCTGTGTGAGCTTTTAGTTGACGTTTTTGTCTAATGGACGGAAACGTTCCAAAAGTATTTGAGAGATGTTGAAAGAAATTTCTTGTTCTCAGAGGGCTTTTGGCGTGGGTTCTGTTTTTTTAGTTTCTGAACTTTCAGAGGTCTTAAAGAATGCATAATGTTTGTCTGGGGATTCATCGTGATTCTTACTATTCTTCGTCATGATGTTGCGTTGTTAACGGATCTTTATATTCTGAGATATTGGGTGGGAAGTGAGGGGGCAGACATCTCATCTTATGTACTGTTTCAGGAGGCTGACAATATTCCACTACGGAAAATGAACCGAGCAACAAATCACTTGCTCCTGGCAAGGAATAGTAATTGTTGTCCTGTAAGTATTAGATAAGATTCAAGGGAAAAAATATCTCCCCAGAAGCCTTAGTAGAATAATAAAGTTAGCCAGCAGCTTGTACAAATTTCTAATGAGTTTTAAAAACTGACCTCAAAAATGGCTTATGCAACACATTGAAAACAACTTTTATCTGCTACATAATTAGGACATGTGGACTTATTAAAATGATAAATGAAGTATGTCAAATACTGACATGCCTGTAATTTGTAGTATGTAATGTTTAGTTAATTGAGGGCCAAAAGCAATCACTTCTTTATAAAAAAAATTGCCTTCAGCAGTTGATACCTAAAATGATGTTTAATTGAAAAAAAAATCGTAAACAAATTAAAAGTTCAAACTCTTTTTGCCATTGAACTTTGAACTGTACGTCAATTTCAAGGACTTGCTTCTTTTTCAAAAATGGACTGTTTCTGTTTTACTGGCATCACTTTGCCATTGGTACTCTTGTTTCTGTCTCTTTATCATGGTCACTTTCTTGGCACCACTACGATACGTACAGCTGTTGCAGCATCTGCTTGCAGAAACCTGTGAGGGGCGATTGAGTTGGGTGCTGGACTGTTTTACGTCCATACTCTTTGGAAGGGAGGCCCGCGCAGTCACGCAGTCCTGCATGCGATCTGACCTGTATTTACAGTCAGCTAAGGCAATTTTCTTTTTCATGACAGAGACTGTTTTGAGCTGTGCACTATGTGTGTCTTCAAATTTCTTGTCGAGTTTTTTAACCAGTGAGCTTTGTACTTTGCAAAAAGTAATTTAAATGTCGCCGGGTACGTCCTACGTGGACTCGGCAGTCCCATACACATGTGCTGAAATGCAACCGGGATGCATAGTTAAATATCAACAAAGTAGTTATATTACATGCCGGCCCAAAATGTCAGTGAAAGAGAGCCTTGACGCACACACTATCGTCCTGGGTAATGATATTCAGTCAGAGCCTTGCAGCCACCAATACATACTCAACTACAACCGGTTCAGGATTCGTAATTACACCGGGAGAACGCGAACGTTAATTTTCGTTCGAAATCTTCCTCTTCCATATGATTAAAATAATCCACAGATCTACATTATTCTTCATTATATATGAAAATAACGTAATTGTAAATGCCTGAAGAATTCGCAAGCAGGAATAATGAACATGCAGGTATCATGAAAAAAATCCTTTGACATTACCGTTTAGACAGATAAAAGAGTAAATTTCACCAACTTTTTACTGATTACTTCGATGAGAGAACCTGTATTTAGTACATCTATAATCGTTCTACTTGTAGCCCACACGAAGTTAATCTTTTGAAAGATATTAAACGGAAAACCGTATTCCCTTGTCGGTCAGAGTTGCATTATGGGCTTTTCAACTATACAAGATTGGAATTTGTCACGCAGATTATACTAACCCATCAACACAGGCCGTTGTAAAAGTCGGTCATAATTGTGTGATATCCGTAGCCCAAATCTGCTAAATCGGAACAAAACGCCTTTATTTTGAGTTCCGAACACGGCAAAAGATTTGCACCATACAATGCATCGTGCCGGGTTTTATAAGTTTCCTTTGTGGTGTTGACTGATTTGATCTGTTGTAAGACATATTTAGAAATTGTTAATATTTGTTGAAGAAAGACAAATTTCACTTCAAATTAATCCTCAATCAATATTCTTCAGTGAGCAAAAGGATGCAGAGTGTTATTGGCTGGGTTTCAGATTCTTACCGTAGATGCACTTCTTGTTTGAAAGCAATGTTTGCTGCTTGGTTTAGTTTCGTTGCCCCAGATACGGAATTTTTCTCTAAGAATTGTCTCATTTTCGAAGCAGCGTTGCACTCTGCAGTTAAGAGTAAAATTCAAATCATACTTAACTTAATAGGTAAGCCTGTGTATTTGTTTAAAGTCGTCTTTCGCAATACCATGGGGATACTAATTGTATCAGACTAACTCGCTGATTCATTGCTGATTGCAGGAGCCCATCAAATGGAGTCTCCATCTCCATTAAATAGATCGGCTTGTTTCTGATTGATTTTGCGCGAACAAGGCTACAAATTTGAAAGTGAATTTACCGCAACAAATACGGGTACAATTGGAAGAATGATCAGCTGAATGATTAATCTGCTACACGGAGGAGCGTTGCGTGACGACACTAAAAAACGGCTGTGTAGCAGACTAGAGAATGATTCGATACGTTTACCTAGATATGAACTCAGTATTCTACAGCTGATTCTATGTATAAAAATATCACATGGTACGGACGATGTCTCTGACTCTGCGTTTGTCGCCGTGGCGGGTAAATATGGCGTGGACAAGGCTACAAATCAAAAAGAAAATGATATAATCTAATACATGAAAAGACAATTGGGAAAACTTTTTCAATATCTTTACTTAAATAAGATGGAGTTCACTTAGTCTTTTAAGAAAAGATACTCACTTGGAATCGGCCGGAATTGGGGTTGCAGAGCCGCTGGGTTTTGCATGGTTCCGGGTAGTAGATATGGCGCGGACAAGGCTACAAATCAGAAAGAAATTGACAATTTTTTAATACATAGGAGTACCATTCGGCTTGTTTCTGATTGATTTTGCGCGAACAAGGCTACAAATTTGAAAGTGAATTCACTGTAACAAATACGGGTACAGTTGGAAGAGTGATTAGTCTGCTTCACGGAGGAGCGTTGCGTGACGACACTAAAAACGGCTGTGTAGCAGAATAGAGAATGATTCGATACGTTTACCTAGATATGAACTCAGTATTCTACAGCTGATTCTATGTATGAAAATGTCACCTGGTACGGAGGATGTCTCCGACGCTGCGTTTGTCGCCGTGGCGGGTAAATATGACGTGGACAAGGCTACAAATCAAAAAGAAAATGATATGATCTAATACATGAAAAGACAATTGAAAAAAATTTTTCAATATCTTTACTTAAGTAAGATGGAGCTCAGTTAGTCTTTTGAGAAAAGATACTCACTTGGAATCCGGAATTGTGCTGGCGGAGCCGCTGGGTTTTGCGTGGCTGGTAAAACATATGGCGTGGACAAGGCTACGATACATATAATATAATAATAATATAATACATGGGAACACAGTTGAAAAACATTTCTCAGTATCATTACTTAAATAAGATGGAACTCAGTCAGTCTTTAAAGAAAAGATACTCACTTGGAGTTGAAGTACACCATTGTCCAGGCACAGCCGCTGGGGTTTGCGTGGATGGTAAAACATATCGCACGTAGAAGGCTACAAATAAAAAAGAAATTGATAATTTTTTAATACATGGGAATACAATAGAAAAGAAGTTTTCAATATCATTTCTTAATGGAACTCAGTCAGTCTTTGAAAAAAAGATACTGACTTGGAATCGAAGTGGACAATTGTCCTTGCACAGCCGCTGGGTTTTGCGTGGTTGGTAAAACATATGGCGTGGACAAGGCTACAAGTCAAAAAGAAATTGATACATTTTAGTACATGAAAAGACAATTGAAAAAATTTTTTCAATATCTTTACTTAAATAAGATCGGAGCTCAGTCAGTCTTTTAAGAAAAGATACTTACTTGGAAACTGGAATTGGGTTTGCAGAGCCGCTGGGTTTTGCATCGCTGGTAGTCGCGCGGACAAGGCTGCAAATTAAAAAGAAAATGACATAATCTAATACATGAAAAGACAATTGAAAAAATTTTGTCAATATCTTTACTTAAATAAGATGGAGCTCAGTCAGTCTTTTGCACAGCCGCTGGGTTTTGCGTGGTTGGTAAAGCATATGGCGTGGACAAGGCTACAAGTCAAAAAGAAATTGATACATTTTAGTACATGAGAATACAATTCAAAAAAAAATTTCAATATCATTACTTAAATAAGAGGGAACTCAGTCAGTCTTTTAATAAAAGATACTCACTTGAAGTTGAAGGAGACAATTGTCCAGGCACAGCCGCTGGGGTTTGCGTGGATGGTAAAACATATCGCACGTAGAAGGCTACAAATCAAAAAGAAACTGATACATTTTTAATACATGGGAATACAATTCAAAAACATTTTCAATGTCGTTACTTAAATAAGATGGAATTCAGTCAGTCTTTTAAGACAAGATACTCACTTGGAGTTGAAGTAGACAATTGTCCAGGCACGGCCGCTGGGTTTTCGCGTGGCTGGTAGTACATATGGCGCGGACAAGGCTACAAATCAAAGAGAAATTGATAATTTTTAACACATAGGAGTACCAGTCAAAAAAATTTCAATATCTTTACTTAAATAAGATGGAACTCACTTAGTCTTTTCAAAAAAGGCTACGAAGGCTACAAAGCTGCAAAGTGTACTTTGACTAAACATTTATTTCGTCTATCGAGACAAAGGTCCCCTCTAAGCTTTTCTGAAAAGTCACTGAAATCAATTTAGTGCCTTAGAAAATCGTATCTCATTGCGTTTTAAATATATATTTTTTAACTTAAAGTGATTAACTCTGATGTCACAGTCAGGCTGTAGTTTGTGGATCTTTTTTTTACTGTGCTGTAAACATTGTCCTAATGGCAGTCAATGTTTCATTCAGATGGAAATGTATAAAGATTTTCTGGATTTGTCCATGGGAAACCTCAAGGACTATCTAAGCTTAAGGGGATTGTCGACAAATGGCCGGAAGGTAGAACTGGTCGCAAGAGCTTTTTCTGCCTTTGAAATGAAGCTTCCAGTCCAAGTTTCCCAAGAGCAACACTTGGCCAGTTTGCAAAGGGAATTCCAGGACAGACTACGCAAGTACGATCTATCAGATCCTAAATCCAGNGTCCAAGTTTCCCAAGAGCAACACTTGGCCAGTTTGCAAAGGGAATTCCAGGACAGACTACGCAAGTACGATCTATCAGATCCTAAATCCAGTGACACTACATGGGTGGATGACATGACAAAATGGCCACCAGTTGACCTTGGCAAGATATTTGCTTATATTCTGTCAAATAAAGAGTTTGTCTCAGATAACATTGAGAAATACAAGGATGAAAAAGCTTATTGGTACTGGAAAAGTAACTTTGTGGGTACCATCCTCTATGCAGACAACAAGAATGAAAAGTGTGTGTTGCAATGCAAGGTAACTCCATCGCAGCGCATCAGAGAGGACCCAAGAGAAGTGTGGGTAGCCCTCAAGAAAGATGGAACTGTCTTATGTGGTTGGTGCACATGCATTGCTGGCACGAGTGCAACATGCAACCACATAATTGCATCGCTTTACAAGATGGAATATGCATTCACCCATGGTCATACAGGTCCATCATGTACATCCGTCCCTTGCGCATGGAATGTATCAACCAGGAGAGATGTGCAGCCAGGAAAGATAATGGACATACGAAGCAGAAAAGAAAAGGGAACAACTGGAAATGAAGAAAATGAAGGAATGATTATAGATGAATGGAGACATTTTGATCCAAGGAAAGAGTGGGAAAGGAATGTGACTGATGAGCAGAAAAAGGGATTCTTGGATGGGTTAAACAGATCAGGCTCAATGCACAAATTTTCAAAGTGTAGAGTCAGAAAAGCACAATCAAATGGACAGACCTTTAGAGCTGACTAAATTTGCAGAGAATTTTACTGCATCATTAGATGGCACTGAGAGTGAACAGGACATTGTAAATAAATTTTTGGAAGCTATCCCCTTAAATGCAACGGAGGTTTCCCAAATTGAGCGAGAAACCAAGGGCCAAAGTGACTCATTTTCTTGGATCAGGCACAGAAAAGGACGGATAACTGCATCAAACTTTAAAGATGTATGCACAAAAGTTGACTCGGTTGCAAAAGCTCGAGGTTCTGTCAAACCACCAACAACTCCTCTTGTCTCAAAACTAGTTCTTGGATGGCAGAACATTGACCACATCCCATCAGTCAGTTGGGGCAAAGAAAAAGAAAACGAGGGATATAATGAATTTTATGCGAGGGCTCTTTCACAGCACCAAAACTGCAAGTTAACAAAGAGTGGACTTTGTGTTCTTAAAGACAAACCCTACATTGGGGCCAGTCCTGGTGGGATTATGACATGTTCATACTGTGGTACAACTGCATTGGAAATTAAGTGCCCATATTCCATTTGGGACTTGTGTGTCGGTGAGGCCTGGGAACAAACAGATTTCCTGGAGCAAAGGGATGGAGTGATTCCGCTGAAAAGAAGTGACAAGTATTTCTTTCAAGTGACAGGTGTTATGGCTGCAAAATCATTATCAAAGTTGAACTTTGTTGTGTGGACAACAAAGGAACTACATGTAGAACTGATACACTTTGATGATTCATTTTGGGACAACATCATTCCAAAGCTTGATGTGTTTTTTAAGTCTTACATGGCCAAGGTCCTGTTAGGCTTGAGGAATATATATATTTTTGCCCCATATGTGAGAAAGTCATTTTAGAGGGAGAGGAGCTCCCAGAGAATTCCCCTGATAATAGCATATGCTGTGACCATTGTGGAGCATGGTTCCATTTTGTGTGTGCACAGATCACTCACATCGAGGATGATCAAGAGTGGTTTTGCCAAGCTTGCCTTTTAGATTTTGTGGATAGGGAGCTTGATACAACCTCTCTTGTGGATCCTTGATGACCTATTTGCATTCATTTTCATGGTTACCAGGAACATTTAGGCAGATGNCACCAACAACTCCTCTTGTCTCAAAACTAGTTCTTGGATGGCAGAACATTGACCACATCCCATCAGTCAGTTGGGGCAAAGAAAAAGAAAACGAGGGATATAATGAATTTTATGCGAGGGCTCTTTCACAGCACCAAAACTGCAAGTTAACAAAGAGTGGACTTTGTGTTCTTAAAGACAAACCCTACATTGGGGCCAGTCCTGGTGGGATTATGACATGTTCATACTGTGGTACAACTGCATTGGAAATTAAGTGCCCATATTCCATTTGGGACTTGTGTGTCGGTGAGGCCTGGGAACAAACAGATTTCCTGGAGCAAAGGGATGGAGTGATTCCGCTGAAAAGAAGTGACAAGTATTTCTTTCAAGTGACAGGTGTTATGGCTGCAAAATCATTATCAAAGTTGAACTTTGTTGTGTGGACAACAAAGGAACTACATGTAGAACTGATACACTTTGATGATTCATTTTGGGACAACATCATTCCAAAGCTTGATGTGTTTTTTAAGTCTTACATGGCCAAGGTCCTGTTAGGCTTGAGGAATATATATATTTTTGCCCCATATGTGAGAAAGTCATTTTAGAGGGAGAGGAGCTCCCAGAGAATTCCCCTGATAATAGCATATGCTGTGACCATTGTGGAGCATGGTTCCATTTTGTGTGTGCACAGATCACTCACATCGAGGATGATCAAGAGTGGTTTTGCCAAGCTTGCCTTTTAGATTTTGTGGATAGGGAGCTTGATACAACCTCTCTTGTGGATCCTTGATGACCTATTTGCATTCATTTTCATGGTTACCAGGAACATTTAGGCAGATGCTCACCTCATGTAAGGGAATCCAAGACAGTCATGGATAGTGGATTCCACGCTGTGGATTCCAGTCTTTGCAAGTGGAAGTTGGATTCTGGATTCTAATCGTAAGCGGAATTCCAGATTGCTTGAGCTGTATTAGTATTCCAAAACCCAGGATTCCGGATTCCGCAAGCAAAAATTTCCCGGATTCAGGAATCTGGATTCCCTTACATGGGGTGAAGGTGCCATAGACCTTTCTCTCAGATGGGTGGTTTTTAAACTAACTGAAGACTTACCACAGATTGATGTGATTTACATGTATACGGAAAAGGCCAAACTAACACACCTAGCCTCATTCTCATGTTTTTGGAGACAAAATGTTCCTGACTAACTTCACATTAGATAGTAGACTAGCCTAACAACTCTACACCCTGAGTTAGCTTTACTTGATCTTTAATTAAGGCTGGTTTTCACTAGCGACGGAGTCGGAGTCGGAGTCGTAATCAGAAGCGTAGAGCTTATGATCTAGTGAAAACAGCGTTCCGATTTCCCTTACGACTCCGTCGCTTACGTTCCGCTTATGATCTAGTGAAAACCAGATTGTCAGAATCGGAAGCAGAAGCAGAAGAACCAAACTAATCACAAAGCGTGGGAACGTGCATTCTGATTGGCTTATCCTTCCGCTTCTGCTTCCGACTCCGACAATCTGGTTTTCACTAGATCATAAGCGGAACGTAAGCGACGGAGTCGTAAGCGGAGTCGGAAGAAAATGGAAACATTCTGATTCTTCTGACTCCGATTACGTCGCGCTTATGACTCCGCTTACGTCGCGCTTATGACTCCGCTTACGACTCCGATTTTTGATTTTCACTCGGTCATAAGCGCTCTTACGACTCCACTTACGACTCCGACCCCGACTCCGTCGCTAGTGAAAACCAGCCTTTTAATAAGATAACAGTCGTTTAATTCTGTTGAGGGCAGAAAACAGTAGCATTCATATTTGCATTTGGCCTAGAAAATGGACACTAAAATTGATTTTATCTTAATTCATACCATGTTTTTAAAGTTGTATGGCTTTGTCACCGAGTTTTAACTAAAAATACCACAAGGGTATTAAACAAGATGAACTAATTCTCAGTGTCTTTTACAGTACATGTATCGCAGCCCACTCACACACACAGTGGGTCTTGTAAGCATGTAAGTGCACAAACAACTTGCACTAAGGCACCACAAAATGGGAGACAGTTGATTGGGAGTTCATTCTTGAGGATATTGAACCTTTTCAATCGCCCAATTGCCTGCTCAGCATATATCCTAACATTAGCTATCCTAGATGTTTCCTTTACTTCTCTTGGGACCATTTGTGAACCAGCTTTGGTACTGGGTGGAATGCAAAGGTAAGCATTGCTCATCAACAGTTCATCTTTTATCTTAAAACCCCAATCAGCCATAATCTGGTCATACGGTTCCACAAAATTTAAGAAACCACAGTCTTTAACAATAAATTTATCAGTTGCCCTTCCCCCGTAGCATGGTGACACATAGCACGGTGCTCCGTTTGGGGGGAGGCGGGGAACTTAACAGACGATTTACGGTATGTAGAAGATTTGCATACTGAAGAAACTACGAGTAAGCACGCCTGTATAATCTACTGCACATGCCCTAATTGCAAACACCGCCAGTACACTACACTCTCATGTTGTAGAGATTCGGGCGATCTTTTTGCCGTCCTAGAGGACTGAAATCGCTTAGACACTCACCTATAATACAAACACCTGTTTAGAAAAGTAAACCTTGCTAATGCAAACACTTTATCATCAACGGTTTACTGCCAAAAACATTTCGTTTTTGGAGGGTAAAAAACCCTTCTGTTGACAGCATGTCGATGTTCCTAGGACTTCAGTACACCGGATAGGACAAATGGTGGACGTCAACTTCAAACTATTTTGGCATCAAACGCCAAAATATAAGATGCTTAGGTCGATGGAAAATTGTTTTTATTTTCTTAGGTTTGTTTTGGAGATAGTTTTTTTAGAAAACAATCCCCACCCCTCTTTGCATAAGAAGTTAAATGGACGGCTTTGCTATAGATATGCGGATGTCTTTTTCATGGCTTTAAGTTTACATGGTTCAAAATTTATTACTTTATTATTGATATACAGAAGGAAGCTTCGCTTCTAGGCTGGCTTACTGCGCTTTTCACAAACATGCGAACTCCAAAGTTCAAAAGCCGCCTTCACAATTACTTTTTTCGCTGCCGTCAATCATAATTACGACCACAAGCAACGAACCTTGAAACACAGAAACACACAAAACGGATCGCAAACCCACCAATCACAAATCAAAAACCATGACCTTTTGAACCCGTTAAAGTAAAGTTGTGTTTCCTAAGAGGTCCGTTTAGATGATCGACGGCAGCGAAAAACGCAATTGTCAGTTGGCTTTTGAACTTCAGAATTCGCATGTTTGTGAACAGTGCAGTAATCTATATTTTATTTATTTTTAAGTTTATTTCACTTTTGCCTGTGAAATAACGTGCGCTCATTAACATAGGAAAGCCTGTCTTGGAATGTGGACTGTGGATGTCCACTCAACGCTGTCACTGTTCACTATGGCTTTAAGATTTTAAAAGTGTATGAAATCTTATGTGAGACGAAACTGGCGTTAAAATATGTAGTTAACAAGAATGACTTGTTGTCTTTCATCCCTTTCGGACAATTAGGGGACAAAGAAAAGAATCCCCTCTGAAGCTTCAAAAGAGCAGGTGTTGTAGTCCTTAGTTTTGTGTGGATGTAAGA